AATTAGAATTGATCAGGATGTATTTGATGGTGGGCTTGCATCAGCCGGGAAATCACGGAAAGAACGAGGAAAGACTGTGTATCGAATTAATTCAAACCAGGTCTTAGATCATTTTCTGGGAGTCAAATGGGATGAACGTATATTATATACCAAAATAAAGGAAATTTTTCGCTTTATTCGAATTTTGCGGTACAAATGTGATCAGAACATGTGCAAAGTGCGCGGGCTCATTCTTTTGCGCCAACCGTGACAGGAGCTCGAAATCTTCTATAAACATTGCGTAATTCAATTTCAAAAATTCGATTTTGCCCCATTAAAATTTATCGCTATGATATTTGAAGCCATCTTCTGATGCAGCTTGAATGTTCTGTTTTTTTGAATTCAAAGGTACAAATTGTCCCCATCCACACGTTTTTGAGTTAAATTGTGCGTGTTTTTGCATGACTTTGAGTCAGACATTAGTGGGGGCGTGACCACCGGAACTTGATATAACCTTTTGTTAACACTGAGTTTGATATGATTTGTGTGTCCGCAGTTAGTTTTTTTAAGCTAAATACTATTGACACTTTAATTAAGTCTTTCATTCATTCATTCATTCATTCATTCTTACCTTTCATGACAAAAGAGCAAAGTAACATCAAGGGCACGATAGCTCTCATTGTAACTCTGATACAACTGACGTGTCCTTACGAAACACTGTTAGATACAAGAAGCAAGGTAGCGAGAGACTGTCAAAGGTTAAAAAAAATACTTAAAAGCAATTTTACTAGGCTAAGAAAAAATGTAAGACACACTTTTGTGGCTCTCAAAATTAAAAATACTGAAAAACAAATCATAATAATAGTAATAAATAGTAAATAATAATAAATATAATAATAGAATGTATTTGGGTTTAAAATCTGTCTGTGCGGTTACCGCAAAAAGTGACTGTTTAAGGTTCGTTAAATAGATTTTACGATCTGGTGACTTAACTGGGGCTATAACATTTGTACTTTCGAATTATTCGCTAGCAATCACTAGTTCTTTGGGCCGCATTTTCCCTTTCTTTCATTAACATCCCACGTTCACATGAGTAGGGATCCGCTAAGAACATAGAATAAGGGTTAGAATGAAGTCTCATTCTTCCTTGACACAAACGTAACTTTAAAGTAATGTCTAAAACTTATAGTAGTCTATAAGAACTAACTTGCCTTGAGCAACTTCCAGACGATGTGGTCTTCACTGGGCGACGTTAGTCAATGAATTGATATCACAAGAAATGGAAGATAAAAGCCTCGCGGGTAAATAGCATCTGTAACCAGTTATTGGCCGACAGCGCGGAAGTATTTGACCCCTTAAGTTTCAACAATGATCCGGCATTGTTAAAATTCTCCTTACAATATTGTAATTTTCAGCAACAGCTCCAGCATTAGCTCAAACGCGATTGTACATATGAGTTTTTTTTTTTCCCTTGCGACGATAGCCATAAATAGGCTTTATCTCGTTCATCGGTAAAGAAAATATCGAGAATCAAAAACTAAGGATCGACAGCGTCTCCGTTTGCCTCAAACTAAATGCGATGCAAAGTTAGAAGAATTCCCATTTTGACCTCGACAAGGAGAGTGTAAATAATGTAACGGTCGTTAATGGATATTCCGCGTACACGAATTCTTATGCTCTGAGCTATTCTGACTGTTAGTGTGTTCATACGATCATTGAATATTCACGTCGAATCCATTGATGACCTACAAACTGCATATCTGCTGCTCAATACCATTGGTTGTACTTGATCCCCTACCCGTCAACGATCTTCTTTCGTTACCTAATTGGCAGGTGAATATTTTTCATGAGAGCATTTTAATTTTTTTTGGTAACAACTCTCATAAAGCTAGACACCTCTTCGTTTTATTCCGCTAATGATAAAATTTCAGTTTTTCCTTTTTGGAAATTCACAAATGAATTTCGTATTTTGCGACACTAGCAAAAAATGGTTACAAAATGCCTCTCATCTGGACCATTCCTACACGTTATAACGCACCAACAAATTTCCTGTCGCATCATTGTTCAAAACACTGAGAATTTGTTACGCGAAACTCGCCAGTTTTGTGAGGTAATTTCCTTGCAGTGTAGCGCTTTCGTATCATTTGCCGTTCGAGTACTCAGGGCCAAATAGGATCATTGAAAAATTCCTTGACCAATTGATAAATGGTCGACCTATGTTGTTGAAAGGTGGTAGAAATTTTATTTGTGTGTGCGGAGGACTCAGAATTGTCCCAATAAATTCATTGTCCTCAAAATATCTAAGGATAGCCTCGGTTTTTACTAGCTGATCAAAAAAACTCTGATAAGTACTTTCATTAGGTAGGTTTTTCCCGACCCACTGGAGGGTGTCAAGAGAAAATGAGGTCTCTTAAGGGTGTAAATGGGCTTCCGGTGAATAATGTCGCGCATGCGCGTGATCATTCCGGAAAACTCTTCAAATTTCATTGAAACGCGGGAAAACGTGCGATGGCCGCTATGGTGTTTGCCTTTCATTGAATGTTCATTATTTGTTTCCAAGAGGACGGCACAGAATAAACTTGAAGCTGGTATATGATTTGAAAGACTTAGGCATTACGTCTTCCATTATAAAGCCGTGCCGAGCATTTCCTAGAAATAGTCAAACATTTTATTCAATCATACTCACACGGTCAAGGCCTGTTGGGCACGACATCCCTTAGTAAACACTCGGTAAGATTTTGTTGGAAAATGTGCGTTGGGTTCTTTTATTTTATTGAGGATCCAGCTTTGACGCCAATTAAGTTCAACCAGAGTGTATGACTTGTCCTCAAAACTTCTCGTTTGTTGGCCAGTCATTCTTTTCTGCTTGCTTTTTGCTCTCGCACATATGATTTCGTTTTTCTAAAAACAATTTCCTGCAGAAACGTTACATCTAGACATACTGTGTCCCTTTATGATTCGCATTTCTTAGTATATCTGTTTATCTATCCATTTATGTGAAGTGAGTCTTCCGTTTTAAGGTGATGTCATTCCGAAACTGAAAACTCAATTATTGTACGTCACGCGGTCGGTCATGTTACGTCAACCTAATATACTAGCCAATCGCAAAAAGATATTATTTACCTTTCCGCTTCAACAAGATATTATTTACCTTTCCGCTTCAACAAGCTATTATTCACCTCTCCGCTAAAGCCCCTTCCGACACGAGTTCATTTTTTCCAGCTGTCACGGTGGTAACTTTATCAAGCAAGAGAAGGTAAGAAATAATTCGATCATATTATCCATTTGATTAACTCCGTTACTGAGCAGAATTAAGCAGAATTTGTTTGTTATCATGTGCTGGAAACTGAATCAGGATGATAACCATGGTGGATTGTCACGCGTTCACATGCCTGCCTAAATGAAAACAAAGAATAGGCCATTTCCGAATTACCTTGAGCCTCCGTTACAAAACTAGTCCTCGTGCTAAATCTTTCATAGGAAAATGAGTTTGATTGGCATGAAAGTGAACCGTTTTGACGGGCAAAAGACAACTCGGAAATGGCCTATTTCAGTACTTGTTATGGTCTACCTTCAATCCAGAGAAATAATTCTAGTGTGAGTATTTGTATAGTAGTCAACTTGTTAACTTATGATCTGTATTTCTCGGCTTTAACTCCACTGGTTTGATCCACCGCTTTGTGTGTTTGCATCGATCTTGGGATATCTGAAGTTTGTTCGAAGGGGAACTTCCGCTTTTCTCATAGAAACAAATATAAGCTAATAGACTCGAAAGAGAAAGTCCCAACGCAGGGCCAGAAAAGCAGCTGCCAACCCTCAGTATTATTAGCTATTGTTGTCATTATGAAAACAAAATTGTATTGTGCCCTATTGAATCTCCAAAGATTCTATTCTCAAATCATAATTCTCATAGATGTGTTACCGCTTAGATTTCCCGGAAAAGCATGGCCACTTCACCTTATACACCGAAAGGGAAAGGAGCAACCGTTGTCAAAGAAGTCGTAGACACGATCAACAGTTTGGGAATATTTGCAAATGACCATAAGTTTCTTTGCCGTGTGGCCTGGGTTGAGTCCAAATATGGAGAGGCCCCTGGGACATACCGGAGTGGTTACCATGGAGGGATTTGGCAGGTAGAGCTTTTTCGACTTTTTTCTATTTGCACCTCCTACAATAATATATCTTTCTGGCCTTTATCTTTACAAACGTGTTCATTAAAATCAGTTGCAAACTTCTCAGATCAGAAGTAACCAAAATCTAACTATGACAGGATGAGAAATAATTCATAAAGTTAGTCTTTTTAATTATTTAAGGAACGCATCTCTGACAAACCTGTAGCAATAAATTCTTATATCTAACATTTAACGGAATCTATGGTAATCATTTCCTTAGAATTTAGGTCTAGTATTTCCCGGATTTCAAGCAAGAACGGTATTTCATTTTCCTTACATATATCAAATTCTTGTGGACAGAATCTTGCTTTGTCAATAAATATAATAGATCGGTCATTCTGTGAGTTTGCATGACATGATCTCCTTCCAAAACGTAGGTTGACAAAATTGGTTATCGCGAGACTGTTATTCAGCAAGGTCTGAAGAAGTACTGGGACCAAATTAAAGCCAAACTCGACATCGACTGGACCAAGACTCAATGGGAAGATTTGGAGAAACCGCTGTACTCTGGACTGGCTGCTCGGTTGTTCCTGGCCAGAATTTCTGCTCCTATTCCATCTGACCTTCCTGCTCAAGCTCAGTACTGGAAGACTTACTATAACACTTCAGCTGGGAAAGGGACTGTACAGAAGTTTATTGATGATGTGGAGCAGGCAACAGGCTGTGCTGCCTAGAAAGACCAGAAATAATGCCGGCACGTAAAGAAAACTCCGTATCTCAAACGTTTTTTCACTTGTCTTGAGATACAAGGTTTTTAAAATTATTAGCTAGGACGTTTCTTTCCATAACTGAGATCTCTTTTAATGTAGTCGAATGTTTTTGCTTGAAAGACAATTTAGCAACAGAGAAACAAGCTATAAAACATTTAAAGAAAACTGGAGCCGTTTGATGTTTTTTACGGATGCCAAAGCTTCCAAGATTCTACAGTGGAATCCTGATTTTTCACACCACCAAAGGGAACGGAAATTTCATGGTATGAAAAACTGGTAGTTCGAGATAGCGGATGTAAAATTACATCGGTCGACTGAGGGCCGGGAAGGTAAAGACTTTTGGTTCGAGTTATCGGGAGCAGTTAACTTTGGTATATATATCCTTGACTGATTCAAATATGCTTTCAACGTTAGCTAGCTAACGCTGCTCTGGTATCTTACCATAGAAGTTAATTGCAAAAAAACAAGATAAACAAAACAAAACAAAAAAAAGAAAAGAAAATTTTATTTAAGTAACGGCTAAAACAAATGTCCAGTATCGAAAGACGATAAAATAATAGTTCTGGCAGCCATCTTGGTTCACTGTATTGTTAATCCAAAATCCTAATCTCAGAGTTCAGATCATTCTGTTGGTTTCAAAACATGTGTATGAATATGTGTAAGACAAAGATTGGGAAGTCTTACATTGAACCTATGTTACTTGATGCGTGATAAACATTTACATAGAATACCGATATTAAAAGTCGCAGTTACAATTGATGCAAAGTATGGATCAATCGACCAGTCAATCCAAAGCTCATGTGTTTATTGACTTTTTATTAAATAATCTCTTTAGCCAATAGATATATTCTAGTTTGTTACGTACTTTTTCCCTAAACGGTGTTTCCTCTTAAACCAATTTATGCACCCGTTCGCTCGCGCTGCTAAGGAAGTGAAATTTCACTTCCGGTTACTTGTGTCGCCTCAGAGCGGAATTCGATAGCTTACATTTAAGATTTTTTTCGTTGAGTTTCACAAAATGCAAAATAAAGTACAAGCAAAAAAATGAGCGCAAAATAAAAAAAAAAAAAAGAAAAACTATCTTCGTGTGCTTCGTTTGATCTTATTAAAGTGCGTGCTTTACCCAAGACCCTTTTTGCTTTGGAGTCGAGAATGATCGTGTGAACTAGTGCGCAAGAGCTGCTGTGTAACTTTCGATGTCGGGGACACTTCCAGTTTTTCATTAACTCCAGCTTGTTTTCGACCATCTACGATTTAAACTAAGGTTGAAAACAAATTTCAACTTTTTTTAATCTCTCTCAAAATCTGACCTTTTAGAAATGAAACAAAATCTATGCATAGCATAGCGAAATGAGGATTCGAATTAGAATGTTAAATCAACGAAGAAAATTCCGATAAAGTAATATGCTCAGGAGCCTTTACGTTTTTCTTCGGACTTAGTCACATGACCATGAGCGTGGCCTGATGACGTCATCACTGGTGTTACTGACCACGAAAAAGTTAAATCACATGAAATAACTCTGAATTTACTGAAAATGATGAGGTTACATGACAATAAATTTCCCACAAAGGCGGCTCAAAAAGGCCAGTTACGTGGGCCTTTAACGGAAACTGAAACATGGTATCATGGATCATGATATGGAAACCAAAATACAGTATCTTTTAATTTGATTTAAATTGATTGCGATTGATGAGAATAGGCCATTTCCGAGTTTCCTTGTGTCTCTGTTTCAAAACGAGTCTTTGATTTGCATGAAAATGAGCCTGTGGGCGGATTTTCATATGAATGGTTTCGTACGTAGACTGGATTTGGCACAGAGGCAAAAGGCAACTCCGAAATGGCCTACTGCATCGAGATATATCGACTAAATGCAAACGTTGAAACGGAACCAATTGCAGTCTTATCCGTTTTAGCAACGCGTCATCCCGAAATTGAAAGTATCGCTGATCACGTTCCAGCCGTACTCGAAGCTAACCAATCACTTTACACCCAGGGTTCTCAAATGAAACTAAATATGGTAATCACGTTATTTTATAACCAGTTTCGCGGAAAGGAAGCGAGTTCATTCGTTAGGGCTGTTATTCAAGAGGCTTGCGAACACAGGATTAATAGGTAAGGAGGAAACACTACATTATTTCAGTTGAGTGTTTCGAGTTATCGGGAGGTTCAAAAAATCGAGGATTAATTCGAGAAATGGCGATTCCATAGTACTTGGTTATAGCTTCCGTTTTCCGCACAAGGCATTGACCTCCACTCCCACTGACCTGTTGAGACTAACACAGTTGATGTCTTCAATGCTCCTCCGCACAACATAATTTTCACGAGAAAAGTAAGACAACAGGAAGATGACTCATCAGTTAGCAACGTTTCATAACAACGTAGAAAATCACCGACAAGATCGAATCACGTTTCGGGATCGTTGTAACGGCATTATCTAGTTTAAAATCAAATGAAATTCACTGCCAAGTGTAATGCAAGCGTAACGCTACATCAAAGTAGACAGGATACAGTTTTACTTTTCGGGTTTCAATGGCTATTACTGTTGTGGATAGATGGCCCTCGTAGAGAGGTTAAAATATAGGTAAATGAATGGACCGTCCGCAGGGACAAAAAAAGGTGGCCGTTAGTGAAAGTTCGACCGTATTAGAATATGCTACAAACAACAATAACACGCTATTTTCCGCCCGCCATATTGGAGGAGGTCCTTCAACACGGCGGCTCCATACTAGTCTCTATAATTTTGCGCGGAACATTTCGACGAATATTTCAACTTTGGGACAAGGCACACACCTTAAACTTGGAGAACTGTCTTCTTTATTTATCGTCTACAATATCAGAATTTTTTGACTTTATCCACTAAATGGTCTTTGATTTTACTTTTTATTGCGTGACAATGCGCACACGCTATAGCTGGCAGAGTATTTTCTTTCTTTTTCTAGATCATGCTTCTGACCGTGGTGTTCGTCAGTCTTGTTGGTCAGATTTTTTTCAAAAATGTGGCTTGTGCTGATCCATACACACCAAAGGGGAAAGGAAACGCTGTTGTTACGGAAGTCGTGGACATGATCAATAATTTGGGAATATTTCCAAGCGATCACAAGTTCCTCTGCCGCGTAGCCTGGGTCGAGTCAAAATACGGACAGGCAAGTGGTACCTACAGGCCGGGGTACTATGGTGGAATTTGGCAGGTAAAGATTTAACGCTGGACAACTCGATCTTGTTCCATTTCCAGTTTTATTTTAACATAAGTAATGTTTTGTTTTATACGGTGCGGAACTGACTACTGTAAACTTCCGAAAGTGAACGTCAAAAAATCTGTGGCCGCTAATAAATCCCGAAAGTAGCGAGCACAACCCCCCTCCCAATCACCGAAAATAGTGAGACCAAGGTTCAGTGGTATATTTATTTTTCCAATCAATAGTCAGGTGAAAGTTACCGTACATACAATCACTTGATTTATGGCACTCGACAACAAGGTAAGGTATCGCTTATGTTACGTAGCGTGAATGTTAATTCGTGCTTCGTCAATGTGCCATGTTAAAACACAACCGTAGAATTTTCATGAAGTAACAGAAACTTTTCTTTAAATCAAAATTGGCAACTCTGTATCATTTCAGCAGGTACGTATTAAAAGGAACGTTTCTTCAAACTTCAATTGGAAACTCGTCCAATGCACTGAGATATTGATACAGCAAACTAACGTAGCATTGCGTCATGAAGTAGTAACAGTTTGCGGTCTCTGACTAACTTTCCTGCCGGCCAGTAACAACACGGTTGAGGCAGGAAGAGCCCACCATGTGGCAGCAAAATACCTTTAAGCTGGAACGAAGAATTTAATCTGATGCTTACAAAAATGTTAATTTTTGCGAATTTCTGTCTTTTATTTCGTAACAAAGATCTCAGTCGTACCAACTTCACATAACGTTTTTTGCTCGCCGAAAGTAACGATCCGGCTGAAAGTAACGAGCCCGAGTCGTTACTTTCAGAAATTTACGGTATCTTAACTAAGCTTAATTCAACATGTATTCTATATTCATACAGGTTGACCTCATTGGTTATCGTGAGACTGTTCTTCAGCAAGGACTAAAGAAGTACTGGGACAAAATTAAAGTCAAACTCGGCATCGACTGGACCAAGACTCAATGGGAAGATTTGGAGAAACCGCTGTACTCTGGACTGGCTGCTCGGTTGTTCCTGGCCAGAATTCCTGCTCCTATTCCGTCTGATCTTTCTTCTCAAGCTCTGTACTGGAAGACTTACTACAACACTTCAGCTGGGAAAGGAACTGTGCAGAAGTTTATTAATGATGTGAAGCAGGCAACAGGCTGTGCTGCCTAAGAAAGGAATTGAAGCTGTTATGCGTATTTCAAGTGTTTTGTCATGTGTCGTGAGATTCAAGATTTCTAAAATTACTAGACAATAATACTTTTAATTTCTTCCGCTAAGAGGTCTAAATGTGTAGTCTACGGTTTTTGCTTTAAGGAAAATTGTAAAATGCAACCGAGAACATAAACTAAGTAAACATTAATTTGAAGAAAATGTTTTATGTTTCATCAGTTTTCAGTCAAAGAACAAGAGCTAGATTGTGAAAGCTTTCGACCAGAATATTAATCTATCCAATCAACAGTAGAGCCTTTTATGACCACTTGTGCAATAAGCCTTGCCCGGGGGGGGGGGACTCCCATACAAAAACGACGGGGGTGCACGTAAGAAATTATGAAAAGAACCCCTAAGAGGTACCAAAATCCTGTTTTGTGGGCGTGGCTTGAAATTGTTTTCACCCCTAAGAGGTACCAGAAGAATCCAGCATAATGAGTTGTTTTAGATGCCATATTTGTGTCGACTCAATACCCTAAGAAGAACCGAAAAAGCTTCTTCTGTTGACCTTTTGAGGATGAACACCCCAAGAGGTGTCAAAACCGCTTTTTAATCCCTAAAAGGTACGACAAACACCCCCGTCCTATTTATATGGCACTCCCTTAGGGAACCTTGGTGTAATAATGTATCCTTAACGGCCCAAATATCCTTACAACTCTGCTCTAGCATATTATAATTACGATATACAAGCTAATGGTAAATAATAAAAGAAAATTTCAGTTAAATCACACACAAACAACACGATCATACTTGCCGACATCTTGGCTCGCTACGTGGCGGGTTTAATTTTCTAATAAAGGTGAGTTCAGAGTGCGAGTCATTCTGTTCGATTCACAGCATGCAATGATTATAACATGCGGAAGACAAAGATTGGGTTATTGTATATTGAACCTAGTTAACATGCTGTGTGGTAATTCAGAAACCACTACCATACAGAATACTAATATTAAAAGCCGCAGTCCTATATAATTGATCGGCCGATCAATCCAAAGCTATTGTGTTTATTAACTTAAACAATTTTTTTTATATATAAAATAGGTGTACTGTAGTTTCTTAGACGAAATATACGGGTCCCAAAATAGTGTTTCTTCTTAATGGCAAATGTTTCACGGTAATTGAAACATGGTGTCACGAGTCATACTCTAGAAACAATAATGTGGCAAAACAAAACAAAAAATTTGAAATGATCAGGCTATGAGATATATCTTGTGATCTAAACAATCGAACCATTCTGATCCGTTTCAGCAACGTGTCATTCTGAAACTGACAAAAAATATCCCTGATCTGAAACTAACCAATCGCTTTTCACACAGAGATCTCAACATAATCTAAATATGGTCAGGTTGTTACCAAAAAGCGATTCTGTTATTTCATTCACACATACATAGAAGCTCAGTTCGGTTAACAGAGGAGGAATATAGGTAAGAAGCAAAACTAACTTATTTCAGTTGAGTAAGCAGCAGTTAAACTGTAATTTGCAGCTTTATTTCTACGGTTAGCACACTAATTCGTCATGAAAACGGAGCTTCATTAGAAAACGCTTTTCAAAGCGAAGGAATTTGAATCGACGGCTTTGCGTTTTAGTGTGGATGGAAGACATTTTGAAAAGGAGCTTTTAGAAAACGCTGACGTCACGATAATCATGTGATCTCCCTGCACCAGTTTAATCTCCTCAAACACAAATTCAAAATGACCGGTGATTGCTGCGTTTCTAAATTTCTCTGGCGCAATGGAAAGGAATACATTTGATGCGTTTTCAGAGTGAAAACGCCGTTTTTAATTTACATTTCTCCGGCCGGGCGAAGTGTGGACGAGGCCTAAAAGACATATAATAAATTAAACCCGATAAACATGGATTTAACCCCTTCGCGACCGGAATAATATTGTATACATTTTTTCCAGTTTTGTGCATTTTTCTCACAAGCCCGGTTCTGTGCACTGCTGCAACGGTTTCTAGGTGAAAGTACTTGATAATGACTATTCTACGTTAATTATTGAATGAGTATATTTTTTTGGACTGATACTTGAATAGACAATCGGTGCCTTTTATACTTTCCTGCACAAGTACAGTTTCACGAGAAAGGATAGATTATTGATNGGCAGAGGGAATGCAGCTCCGCTCTTCCCACATACTATAAACAACAAGAACAGGCTAACAGAAACTGTATCTTTCCTTTTCTAGATCATGCTTCTGATATTGGTGCTCGTTGGTCTTGCTGCTCAATTTGTCTCGAAATGTGACGCTTGTGCCGATCCATACACACCAAAGGGGAAAGGAAACGCTGTTGTTGCTGAAGTCGTGAACAAGATCAATAATTTGGGAATATTTCCAAACGATCACAAGTTTCTCTGCCGTGTAGCCTGGGTCGAGTCAAAATACGGACAGGCACGTGGTACCTACAGGTCGGGGTACTATGGTGGAATTTGGCAGGTAAAGATTTAACACTGGAAGTGTTGAATTCCAAATCTCTTGTTCCATTTGCAGTTTTAGGGTCAAGACACGTTACGTTTTTTTAAATTATCTGTGCAGCACTGACTATCTTATGCAGCTTAATTCATTCTCATATATACATACAGGTTGACAGCATTGGTTATCGTGAAACTGTCATTCAGAAAAGATTGAAAAAGTACTGGGACCAAATCAAAGCTAGACTCGGCATCGACTGGACCAAAACTCAATGGCAAGACCTGGAAAAACCGCTGTACTCTGGACTGGCTGCTCGGCTATTCTTGGTCAGGTTTCGAGCTCCTATTCCATCTGATGTTCTTTCTCAAGCCCGGTATTGGAAGCGTTACTATAACACTTCAGCTGGGAAAGGAACTGTACAGAAGTTTATTGATGATGTGGAGCAGGGAACAGGCTGTGTTGCCTAGAAACGATGACCATGGTTCATGCAGTAGCTACTAGAGTGAACACTGGTGACTTTTTCGCTGTTTGCTCTAAATTAATTCGATAACCGAAAAATGGGCATCGGTATTAATCCAAGATTTTGCTTCCTTTATTCAGAATTGAAATGAGTTTGTAAGATTTAGCGAATCAAATACAAAAATTGTAAGAAAAGCTAAAACCACGCGTTAATTATTTCGTAGCTTAAGTAAATGAGTAATGCCTGAAATACCATTAAAACGCAAGTTTCCAATATGTTGCGCATTCCTCATTGGTTTTGTTTCCGTCTCAAAACTCCTCGTTTCAACATGCGGCATAATAATTGTAACTGTAATTTGATTTTCTTAACAACGTTAATTAGCCCAGGCAGTTTAAAGCTAGAAGTACAAATATAACCACCGAATAAAGGATAAATTCGATATTCACTATAGATCAAGGTTAAACGGAAACACTTGCACTATCTGCTTGGCTGTATGTAGTCAGAGCTAGTCATCGAATTGTGGCTGATCTTCTTTCTCAATAACAGTACTGGAAATTCTTACTACAATACTTCATTCTAACGGAGAAACAACAACATTATATTAAGTGTAAATTCTGGGAGAAACGTATACTCGGAAAAAATCCGAGTC